AACACACACTTTACAGCTCACTAGCTCAAAACTAACAGAATCATAAATTATCAGAACCTCCAGTTCAGCATAGTTATTGTATAACAAGATGGTGAATTAGGAGTTATATACTAAAAAGTAAAACCTTACAAAGGAGCATCTTAAGCCAATCAATTAGAATACTTAAGGTTTGTATCTTTCTCAGTTTCTTCTGATATTGTTATTTGTTCTTGAATTTTATGGTCCATAGTGTTCTCTTCCTCATCTTTCTGTTCATTAGTTCTAAGAATTCCATTTTCATAAGACGTATAGTGGGCCAGGGCAGATTACTTCTGGGATCATGCAGGAATTGTTACAAACAATTACCAACTTCATTTAGCTTCTTGTTTAACAGTACTAGTTTCCCAAGTAGGCTTTCCATTGCTGTAGTACAAGGGAGAGAAAGAAGGATGTTAGTCATAGTAGCCGAAACAATTTCAACAGAGACAGTGAATCTTTGGTTCCTTGTCCAAGATTCCATCCCACATGGTTTTGTGCTAGTTTAATAAAAATATTGTTGGTTATTGGAATTGACCTTGACCTCAAGTTAAATCAAATTATTCATCTCTCGGGTCTTTCTGCAGTATCATGGAATGAACTACATGTACTGTGCTGTGGGCAGGTGTAACACATTGCTTCTGTCTTTATTTAGGTGTCGAACTGGGTGATTAGTGAAATTTATTAATCAGTTATTCTTGCAGGAAACTTGGATAGTTGGAATATTAAAGATAGTAATTATTGAAACACTATTTTCACTAAGGTTACTTATTTTCACAAGATTCATCAACGTTATCATAATTATAATTTATCATTTATTTTTACAGGCCACTAATCGATAATCAACTTTATCACCAAGTTTGATTTGGGTGTAATTCATTTTCTCCTCGGTTAATTTTTGCTTGTTTACAATTATGTGATGAGATAATATGCCTGATATTGGACAATGTAGCTGTATCTGCTTCTATAGTGTCAATTAATTTTGCCACGTGCTGATGAATATCGAGTTTCACACTCAGAACACATCTCCTTGAAGATGTCGATAGCAACCAGAAACTGGGGCTGATCACCTAGCTTTCTTGCAAGTTGGACACTTAATGGACAGAGTCTGTTGAGTTGCACATGTTAAGTGTTTATGAAATGAAGTACCTGAGTAGTTGTTGGTACTTCAAAACACTGTTAGGTTGTTTCGTTTAAAATATAGACAAAACAACATTTACATTACACAATAAAATTTTTAAAAAATTAAAATGACTCTACATGTTTCAGTAGCTTTCGCTATCATCATCAGGAGTAAAAGTATACATGAACAGCAGGTTTTTTATACAAGAATTGGCCGAGTCACTGTAATGCACCGGTGTGACAGCGGGTTTTTAAACAAGAATGGTCCGACTCACTGTAATTCACCAGTATAAAAGCGGTTTTTTTAACAAGAGTGGTCCAACTTACTGTGATTCACCGGTGTGACAGCGGGTTTTTTACAAGAATGGTCCAACTCACTGTAATTCACCGGTGTGACAGCAGGTTTTTATACAAGAATGGTCCAACTCACTGTAATTTACCAGTGTGACAGTGGGTTTTTATACAAGAATGATCCAACTTACTGTAATTCATCGGTGTGACAGCAGGTTTTTATACAAGAATGGTCCAACTCACTGTAATTTACCAGTGTGACAGTGGGTTTTTATACAAGAATGATCCAACTCGCTGTAATTCACCGGTGTGACAGCGGGTTTTTATACAAGAATGGTCCGATTCACTGTAATTCACCAGGGTCCAACCACTCTTGTTCGCGTATATTTTTGCTCCTTTCGGTGTAGTGGAAGCTAGCAAAACATGAGTCATTTTTTATTTTATTGAGTAACGTAAATGTTGTTTTGTCTACATTTTTAAATAAGATTTACTGCACAATGTTTTCCTATTTTATATTTTACTGTTAGGTTGTTATTTGTTTGTTTTTAAAGAGTTATCTTTGCTTGGTAAAGGTCTAGAACTTTCTTAATGTGTATGGAATAATAGAACATATGGAACTAATAAGAATAATGACATATATTGTATAAAGGACTTGTATGTCCAATAGGGTCTATCTCTGTTTAAAACATTTTAAACGGAGAACAAAATATTATGTAGAAATTATTTCTTGTAAAACCAGATGCAGATAAAATCTCAACAAACCAGAGTGAAAAGTTTTCATTTATTGTGTGCAGTGTAAGTAGAACACTTACATGCAAGTGTAATTTGTTGACTCGTTCTCTTAAACCTTTGACGTTGGTGCTGTAAACTAAATTTAAGTGTAACAGAAAAGGCAAGTATTACATTGGTGGTGTAAACTAAATTTAAGTGTAACAGAAAAGGCAAGTATTAACTTTTTTCTGAAACATTTCCAATTGTAGTGAGGCTGACTAAAGGAATTCTTAAGATCCCAGTCAGTCGGAAACCAACCCCAAAATACCAAAAAACCAGATAACACAGCCGTATGTATAAAATTCAGCTGCTTTAAAATATGTTTTCCATTTTTGTGTGGCGCAAGTATGACCGAGAAGGCCAGGACCATGTGAAGAACATAAATACAAAACTAAAGGAAGCTGTGAATGTGTTTACATTGTGATCCTTCAGCTACATGTACAGTAAAACATTGTCACGTTATCCCCAAAGTAGACGTAGAGTAGTGTAAAAGATCCAAAAGCCAAATGTGTTTACATTGTGATCCTTCAGCTACATGTACAGTAAAACATTGTCACGTTATCTACCAAAGTAGACGTGGAGTAGTGTAAAAGATCCAAAAGCCAAATGTGTTTACATTGTGATCCTTCAGCTACATGTACAGTAAAACATTGTCACGTTATCTACCAAAGTAGACGTAGAGTAGTGTAAAAGGTCCAAAAGCCAAATGTGTTTACATTGTGATCCTTCAGCTACATGTACAGTAAAACATTGTTATGTTATCTCCAAAGTAGACGTAGAGTAGTGTAAAAGGTCCAAAAGCCAAATGTGTTTACATTGTGATCCTTCAGCTACATGTACAGTAAAACATTGTCACATTATCCCCAAAGTAGACGTAGAGCAGTGTAAAAGATCCAAAAGCCAAGGAAGAAGCAGAGCAAGGTGTTCTTATAGAAATGTGTGCTGAAGAGTGTTTCGTTACAAGATTTGGACATTGAGATTGAAGACGTAGTAGAAGAAAACTAGAAACATGTTTATTCTCACTAATTATACATTGAAATTGATTAATAACATCAATGGAACTAAAATAACTAATATTTGGTCAAATTAAAGCATTCTGAATCTTTCTTTTGATTTTCTGGCAAGTCGTGAGATAGCTGATCGTTTTCACCTATTTCTCTGCAACCAGAAAGGATTTCTAAATTCTGAAAGTGGCTCTCACCTTTTTACACCATTCCCCGTTTATTTTTGATACTTTTTTTTAAAAAGTGTGCACAGCAGCCCCAAGGTTGGGTTTCTCACTGACTGGGACCCTAAAAAAAACATGACTGTGGCCAAATAATGAGCTATAAGTTATTGATATTTGATTGGTCCAACTGTTTGAATATATTTAAAGCTTATTAAAGTAAGATCTTAAAAGTCCGAGGGTGCATGTCATTTTGTTGTTTGTCAATTACAAATTAATATCTAATTTTCAACCTGATATATGAGAGATGAATTTTAATTTTAGGATGAGTATAAGATGTTACTTGTGGTATTGTAGGTAATGAAGATAACTTTTTGAAACAAGAAAATATAAAATATTTATTATATAACAATATTTTAATAAAAATGTTCATGTTTCACAATGTAATTCGAAGAGAGGTCAGACTTTGTTTCTTCTGAACAAAAATAGATTTTCCATTGGATTAGGTAGCTCCATTATATCTCGGTTATGATTCTTCTACATTAGACCTAATAGACATTTTCATAGGGAAAGAATAGCCATAATAAATTAAATAGTTGTTTATTTTTTATTTTCGTTCTTAAACTTAACAATTATTCCATCCTCCCCCCTCTCCTAAAGAAAAAAATAGTTTTGTTGAGTTTCAAATTAAAACACAATTTACTTGATATAAGTAATGCATGTAGACCTGCATGTTGCTGGAGTTATCTGTACATGCTGTGCAGTTTATCCAGTCTTTTTATTTTATTATATTGTCAGGTACCAGTTGCTTGTAAAGCCTGTCCTTGTGGCCACCTCTTCCGTAGAACTCTTGGTGGTCGTAAGGTTTCCGGAACCAAGACGGACAGTGAAGTGAAGTGTAGACGCACCGAACGGATACGGAGAGAAAGACCTGACTATTTTAATGCTCTCCATTTCGATAATCAATTGAAGAAGATCAGAAGAAAAGTTAAACAACGATCCACAAATAGCACTAGCAGCTCAACTAATGAACTGGAAGGTGACTGCTCTAATAGCGAGGAAAGTAATTCAGCTGGTCAGAAGAAGCGGGGGCGGCCTAAAGGATCAGTGAATAAAAAAGATAAAGATGAACCTAAAGCAGGTGAGAAGTGTCAAGTTATGTTGTAAGTAAACCATTTATTTAAGATGAACCTGAAGCAGGTGAGAAGTGTCAAGTTATGTTGTAAGTAAACCATTTATTTTTTATTCAAGGCATTTAAACCATTTGTGTATGATAAAATTTCATGATGAATGTGTCAGTTTTATGAAGTGTATCTGTAAAATTTGTAGAATGTGTTGATGCTTATGGCTGTAGAATCAGCACAGGGTGCTGATTCTGGTAGCTGTGATTGTAGCACAGGGTGTTGTTTCTGATGACTGTGGTTGTAGCACAGTTTTTGCTGCTTGTGGATGTAGTTGAAAAAAGTTATCTCATGATACTAACTTGCTTAACACAGAGAGTATCTCTTGAAGATAGTAAAATCTGGGTATTTAATTCAGTGATTTGATCTGTAGAAAATGAAAGATATGCTTTAACAACGTGAAATGTAAGTTCACACATTGTTTAG